CTAGAAGGTCATATGAAGACGAATTGCTATAAATGGCTCGAGGAGCAGGGCAAGAGCAATTCTCAGCCGAAGAATAGTTCTCAACAGAAGAACAAGGGCAAGAGTGGTGAAACTCTTATCACTGCCTCAGGTGATGTAGCATATTGCTCTAACCATGGTGAGACATGCCTTCATGTCTCAAGAGAAGACATGGAATGGGTGGTAGATACTGCAGCATCCTATCACGTTACTCCCAACAGGAAATACTTCACAACATACCAAGCTGGAGACTTTGGATCGGTGAAGATGGAAAATTCCAGCTCCTCTCAAATTGCCGGAATTGGTGATATCCAAGAAACGACAGGAACTGGGAGTACAATCTTGTTGAAGGATGTCAGGCATGTGCCAGATCTTAGGCTGAATCTTTTGTCAGTGGTGGCTCTTGAGAAAGAAGGATATGAAAATCACTTCGGCGCAGACACATGAAAGTTGTCAAAGGGTGTTCTGAAAATTACCCGAGGACATGTTTGTGGGACGCTGTACAAAACACATTTGAAGATCAGTACAGAAAGTCTCAATGTTGCAGAGGAGGTTTTCCAGGATCTATGGCACCAGAGACTTGGCCATATGAGTGAGAAAGGGTTGACTACCCTGATGAAGAGAGATCTTATCAAGGTTGATAAGAGTGCATCGATGGGTTCTTGCAGTCATTGCCTGTTCGACAAGCAGCATAGAGTCTCATTCAATGCCAGTTCACAAAGAGATCAGAGTGTTAAGCTTGGTACACTCTGATGTTTGCGGTCCCATGGAGGTTGAATCACTGGGTGGAAGCAGATATTTTCTGACATTCATTGATGATGCTTCTCGAAATGTGTGGGTATATTTCCTGGATACGAAGGACCAGATGTTTGAGTACTTCAAGGATTTTCACGTCATGGTGAAACGTGAAACAGGAAAGAAGCTGAAATGTCTCCGATCTGATAATGGAGATGAGTATACTGCCAAGGAGTTCGATGCATATTGCAGGACATATGGCATTCGACATGAGAAGTCAGTACCACGTACCCCTCAGCACAACGGTGTTGCTGAAAGAATGAATCGAACTATCATGGAGCGTGTCCGAAGCATGATGAATATGGCTAAATTACCAAAGCCATTTTGGGAAGAAGCTGTCAAGACCGCATGTTATCTAATCAACCGATTACCTTCAGTTCCATTAAATTTTGAAGTTCCAGAGAGAATATGGACTGGTAAGGATCCGACATACTCACATCTCAGAGTATTTGGTTGTGCAGCATATGCACATGTATCCAAAGAGCTCAGGAAGAAGCTCGATGCGAGGTCAATCCCATGCATTTTCATTGGTTATGGAGATGAAGAGTTTGGATACAGATTTTGGGATCCAAAGGAGAAAAAGGTGATCAGAAGTAGGGACGTTGTGTTCCAAGAAAATTTGACAATAGAAGATATCGAAAAACCCAAGATGTCTCAGAAGTCAAATGTGGGTCTCAAGTTTCAGATGAAGCACCAGAATTATTCCGGAGAAATAATGAATATGATGTACCAGAGAAGATGAGGAGATAGAAGAGAGTGCAGAGCAAGGGGAGCAACAACCCACCTTGCCAGAGCAAGGGGAGCCACAACCCATTTTGCCAGACACCAATGTTGGAAGTTCTTCTCAGATGGTTCTACCCACTCGTAGATCTGAACGAGGTCATATACCATCAAAAAGGTACTCATCATCTGAATACATTCTATTGACAGAAGATGGAGAACCAGAGAGTTTTCAAGAAGTCATATCTCATAAGGATAAAGAAAAATGGATGGATGCGATGCAGAAAGAGTTAGATTCTCTGCAGAAAAATCAAACTTATGGAATAGTTGAACTTCCAGAAGGGAAGAAGGCTTTGAAAAACAAATGGGTGTTCAAGCTGAAGAAAGATGCAAATGGACAAGTGGTGAAACACAAAACTCGATTAATTGTCAAAGGCTTTCAACAGAAGAAAGGGATTGATTTTGACGATATCTTTGCACCAGTTGTCAAGATGACCTCAATTCAAGTCACACTTGGCTTAGCAGCAAGTATGAATTTGGAGCTTGAACAGATGGATGTGAAGTCAGCTTTTCTTCATGGAGATTTAAAAGAAGAAATCTATATGCAGCAGCCGGAAAGTTTTGAGGATTCAAGTGAGAACCTCGTGTGCAAGCTATCTAAAAGCTTGTATGGTCTAAAGCAAGAACCAAGGCAGTGGAATAAGAAGTTTGACTCATGCATGAAGAGTCAAGGTTACAAGAAGACTACTGCAGATGAGTGTGTTTACATCAAAAGATACTCAAACGGGGCTTTTATAGTTCTTCTACTGTACGTCGACGACATGTTGATCGTTAGGAATGATGCAGAGAAGATACATCAACTGAAGAAAGAACTTTCCAAGTCTTTTGATATGAAAGATTTAGGAAAGGCTCAGCAGATTCTTGGGATGCAGATTACTCGAGACCGAGAGAACGACAAGTTATGGCTATCTCAAGAGAAGTATATTGAACGAATAATTGAAAGATTCAATATGAGTGATGCCAAACCAGTGAGTATTCCACTTGCGAATAATTTCAAGTTGAGCAAAAGATCATGTCCAACATCCAAAGAAGAGATGGGGGAGATGTCTGCAGTGCCATACTCTTCAGCAGTTGGAAGTTTGATGTATGCAATGGTGTGTACAAGGCCAGATATTGCTCATGCAGTGGGTGTAGTGAGTCGTTTTCTTTCTAACCCCGGGAAGGAGCATTGAGAGGTTGTCAAATGGATTTTCAGATACTTGAAGGGTACTTCTAAGTTATGTCTTTGTTATGGGAGAGATGATCCAGTCTTGGAAGGATATACTGATGCTGATATGGCCGGAGATATTGATTGTCGAAAATCTACTTCGGGCTATGTCTACACTTTTGCAGGGGGAGCTATTTCTTGGCAATTAAGATTGTAGAAGTGTGTTGCTTTATCCACAACAGAAGCTGAATATATTGCTACCGCTGAAGCTGGTAAAGAAATGTTGTGGCTAAAGCGCTATCTCCAAGAACTTGGGATTAAGCAGAAAGAGTACAAGGTATATTGTGATAGTCAAAGTGCTATTGACTTAAGCAAGAACTCTATGTACCATGCTCTCACAAAACATATTGATGTTCGGTATCACTGGATACGCGGGAAGATTGATCAACAGCTGTTGAAACTAGTGAAGATCAATACGAAGGAGAATCCATCAGATATGTTGACAAAAGTGGTCACACTGGATAAGCTTAAGCTATGCAGAGACATAGTAGGAATGCTTGTTCAGAACTTGCATGGAA